TTTTCAATATTAATATGCTGCTATTGGTTTTCGGCGTTCGTTGTTGGGCTCGTTTTGATTAGGGTTCAAAGCGGAAATTATTTTATACGCTACGCTGGTGAAATTTCTAACAGTTGTATTTATCTGATGTGATTAAAACTCGAACTCAAGGAATAGAAACTGACATCGAACGACATAACAATAACAAAAACAACTTCGTTTACGACATTTAGTTGGAATTAGGTGAACTCTGTGGTGGTACGTCACCAAGTAAGGTAGGTAGTTAGGTAGACAAAAAAAACATTACCTTTTTTGCTATGACTTATTTTCTATTCTGTTTAGGTTTTAAGATTCTTATAGGAATCTTCGATGTTTAATGGGATGTAATATTGAGATCTCATTAGACACGGTATTATCGAAATATTGTCGTAAATATTATAAGCTGATTTAATGAAAATACGGGGTTTATTGGTGAAATAGCCAATGATTAATTATACTGAAATTTAGACCCATACTGAGAGGAAAATTTCCTACCCAATGTTTACCCAAAATACCAAATTACAACCAAATCGATTGAAAAGCGTATTCAAACTACCAAACATTGGGAGTACCGTTATATGAGGGCTATACCAAAACCCGGGACCGATATCGAACCTGAGTAATAGTAAAATTTAAAACTTTATATTAAATATTAACTGAATGCTACACAAGACACTTCGGATTATCTGCTGGTGAGTCATAATGTATTCAGAACATAAATGTTCCGTTTATTTATTCGATTGAAAACATATTTCATATATTTTCGTCACATGTTACAATTGAAGGAAAATTGGTATAAAAACGTATATAATTTTTTATAAATTTAGTCATTACTGTGAGGGTATTCCACTCCAACACCAGCATATTTTGCCGTTGCGTTTCCCATTGTAAAGAATAAATACAATTTGAATTTTTAGAAGCAATACGATATCCTACACAACTACCACGGAACTCTAACTTTCTGCTCGAAGCATGGACAATATTTCGTGATATTTGCACCCTCCTGACCAATTAGAGATCAACACGACCTTTTCCATACACTGACATATTTTCCGAATATTTCCAATATTCAGCACAGCCCTTCTAAATACTTGACCATATTCCATTGACCGTAGGTTTTGTGGTGATGTTCGGCTTGTGGGCTATATATCGGTCCACTGCAACCATTCAATGTACACCTATGACTAGATCTTGTTCTAGACCTAGACCTTCACTAATGCAGTATACACCTACTTCGATGGGAACATTTGGACAAGTGCTTAAAATTGCCGACAATACAGGATATTGTATCTTGTCCATGGAATTGTCCGTCCGATTTGAGTAAATTATCCTCTGAAGATCCTGCGTTTGTTCACTTGACCCGAAATTTTACATAGCATAGGAAATTGAGAATAAAATCATCTGTGTTAAAGTTGGATCGGTTCACATTTACATTTAGCTTCCGATTTGCATCAAATACCAAACCTTCATCCCATTGCAAAGAGCACAGCGGAGCAGATTTATATAGACCTCCATATATAGTTTTATCCAATTTTATATAAATGGTGCACCAAAGTACTTATGGCTGTCCGATTAACATGAAATTTGGCATAGATTGACTGTTGTTACAATGTGATAACCACATAAGTAACATGGTTGTGTGTAGTCTGGTATACAAAAAAGTAAGCTAACCGTGTCGCACTAGATGGCGCCAATGATCGTAATATTCATAAACAACCTGTAATGTAAGTTCAAAAGTCAGACGGGGCAGACAGATAATAGTGAAGGGTATTTATTTATATATTTTGGGTATATACAAGAGATGGTTATTTGGACAATCAGTGTAATGGACTCGGACGAAATTAAATATGTGATCAAAATATGTGAAATCTATGAAAAATTGCATGCCAATCGGACAGACTTCGTTTCCATCAGACAAACCAAGGGAGTTTGGTGATACATTTACATAAAATCGGACGAAGCTATATATGGAACCTATATCTAAATATAAACCGATTTCATCGAAACTACACACACGCCAATTTGTACTTTCTGTCCAACACATTGTCTCAATCAGAAAAACTTTGAGAGTCTGGTATAAAAAATAGAATGAAAATATATATGGGAGCTATATCTAAATCTGAGCCGATTTCAACAAATCTTCACATGTCAATCTGTTTTTTATTCCATTCATTATGCCAAATTTCGTGCAAATCGAAATAAATATAAATATAGCGAAGCATTTGCATAAAATCGGACGAAAATATATATGGGCTCTTCTAAATTTCATCCAAATCGAATCATGAATGCGACCTGTACGTTGTTTACAATTTAACATGTGTGGACAGACGGATTAACATGCATAAATTGACTCACAAAATTATTCTATATTCTGTTGCAAGCATATGCTCAAAGACATAATACCCTGCACCACAGTGTGGTGAAGGATATACAAATGTAAATAGATAAACATTTACCTTATCGAAATGTGGGTTTTACATTTGTCTTTGGATTCAATCCATTTCAGAAAATTTTGGAATCAATTTAGTAATGTCAACCGATCTGTATGTCGTTAAATCTCGTAATATATCTAAAATCATGTTTGAAGGTGGGTAATATCGATCCACCACTTTTGGTATTTATTGAAAATATTTGTAACACATTTTTAACGGGGCTTGAATTTTTTATTGAAAAAACAAATATTTTTCTAGTGCTGTAAAAAGGCGTGGATTAAAAAAAATTTCCAGGGTTGCAGCAAGACTTGGATTTTAAAAAATATGTACATTTTCCAGGACTTCAATATAACGTAGATTTTTTTAACAAAATTTCAATGCTTTAACAAGGCGTATATTTTTAAAAAATATTTTTTCGAGAACTACAACTATGCGTAGATTTTTCAAAAAAATATTTTTAACAAAACTGCAACAGGTCTTGGATTAAAAAAAAATACTCTGGTGAAACAATTTGTGGATTGCGTAGATTATTTAGAACATATTTTTTCCAGCGTACAACAGTTAAAAACCATATTTTTCCAGGGCTTCAGCAAGGATTGGATTTTAAAAAAAAATTTCGGGGGCTTCAACAATGCGTACTATTTTTAAACATTTTTCCTAGGGCTGCAAAAACGCTTGAATTTTTTAAAAAATATTTTTTCCAGAGGCGTGGATTTTTTAGAAAACTATTTCCCAAGTATGCAACAAGACCTCCACTTTGTTGTATTTAAAAAAATCGTTAAAAATAACTTTTCCATGGATACAAAAAGTCCCGCCTCTTGTTTTTTTCCAAAGAGAACAAAAACATAATATTAATACTAATCATATATTTAGTTTAACTATCGGCTATATAGGTACCTGGAACCTCCCCCACAACCAATTAAATTTTTGAATATTTATAATTTTTATAAAAAAAATTGTTCGAACTCGGAACTAATTGGTGATTGGCCTTCGCAAAACAAAATAGCATTCAAATTTTAGATTCAGTGAGGCATTTGTTTGTAGGGATGTGTGTGTTTACTTTTTTAGGTAAGCCAGCTTGACCCCTTTCTTGTTGTTTTTAAAACTAAAAACAAAAAAAAAATTATTTTTAAAGTGGGTTATGGTCACATTGATTACTTTCGGGAAAGTCAGAGAAGACTATAGTTTCGTATTTCGCCACAAATCCTCATCAGTTCTCTTAGTTTTTTGCTTGGGATATTGTCCCAGGGAGTCATGTATTACCCCACTGAATAAAAAACCTTTCTTTTCCAATTTTGTTTTGAGAACGCTCTGTTTGAGAATTCTCTAAAAGTTTCAGAAAATGTTTTTGCGGAACATGCAACCATGTTCCACTGTTATGCGTCTCTACTTTGCATTTTAGGATAAATGAGGAAGAGGGTAAAATCTAACCAAGCTAATGGAGAATTATTATGTTTGACTGACTTGAGTTCTTCTCTTTTTAATTGTTCTTTTAACTAATTCCCCATGCAATTTTGTTTTCCAAATACCCATATAAATTATTAATATTTAAAGAAATTTAAAAAAATATATTTTTTGAGTCGACTTTTTTTCTGACTTCCGAGACAAAAAATTTTTCAACAATTTTGTAGAATAAATCTGATGGGTGTAGAACGAAGCTGATGGGTATTAGATTTTGTTAATTCTTCATTTCTAGAATTCAATAGATGTTTTTTAATTCTGATTTCTTCAAAAAAAAAAAAAAAAAAAAATCCACAATTTTTGGTAAGTCCCAATTTTCCAAAATCTTCCCAAAAAATTATTAAATAAAAAGAGTTTGAAAGATTTTGATTTTCATATGATTTTTTGTATTTTGTTCATGTTTTCATGTTTGTAAATAAATTATTTTAATTCTTTTAAAACTAAAAAACATTTCATTTATATGTGTATATGTATGTAAGTATAAAAATATATTACCAAATAATTGGTATTATTTACTTATAGCTAGGTTTTTATATAAAAAATATTTATAAAAATAGTTTTTTGTCTTCCGCTTAAATTCAAAAAATAATAAAAAATAAACTAAAAATTGTCTTCCATTTGTTTTGCTTAAAATAATAATAGAAAAATAAAACTAAAAACAAAATATTTATAAAATTTTTACAAAAATAATATACAAGAGAAAAAAACAAAAAATAATAATTATATAATACATTTGTACAGGCACTCTCTAAAAATTAATTCTTTTTAATAAATGCAGTTTTCAAGAAAGGATTTTTTTTATTTTATACAAGAGGCTGACTAGAGATTTTTTTAGGAGAATGGAAAAAACTATTAAGGCTCTGCCTTTTAATGAAAGAAAAAAAGATAAGTACTACAAAAAACACCAGGTTTATGTAAGGATTTGTTTTTAAGTTTGATCAGCACATGTATAAGAGTAGTTAAAAAAATTAGGTTCAGGAAAGTGCGTTTTGCTTTTTTAGGAACTAATTTTTGGTGGTTCTTTATGTTTTTGTTCGGTTTTAGTTATATGGCAAACGAGAGATATTCGAGAGACAAAGGAGTTGGTGTTTAATGATCACCATAGGTTGGATAGGCAACGAGATCATTGCTGCTAGATTGGCTGCCGCTGGTATTGCTGGACGACGAGGATCCTTGGCAACCACCTTCAGAGTGTTTGGTTAGCAACGACATGCGGGAGAAGGTTTTCGAACAGTTGCTGCAGGAATATTTCTTGATGTCGGAATGTGTTTGTAGATGGGCTCTCAGGTTGGAACGATCAGCAAAGGCACGATGACAATGCTGGCAGCTGAAGGGTTTCTCACCGGTGTGTGTGCGAATGTGACCCTGCAGCAACCATGGTCGCGAGAAAGCCTTACCGCAGATGTTGCATTTACAGGGCAGGGTGTGAGTGCGAATGTGCATTTTCAATGCACCCAGGGAGACGTAGGTTTTGTCACAATCCTTGCAGCTGAACGATTTCTTAACCTGGTTACCCTCAGCGGCGGGACAATGGAATTGTTGATGTTTGGTCAAGCCCGAGAATGTGGAGTAAGATTTTTGACAATCTGGGCACTGGTAGCGTGGTGGACCACTCTTTTCTTTTTTCACTGGTGTTGAGGTGGCTGAAGGTGGGTTGTTGGTGGCACTTGAAGATGTCTTGCAGGATGAAGCATTCGAGGAGCTATCAATGGCCACTTCGCTTTTGATGTAGATTGATGATTTTAGAGGTGAGGTTTTGACACTATTTTGTTGAGCAGGTTTAATGGATAGATCCTCAGGCACGGGTGATGCTAGAGATTCGGGTGTCAGCGATCTCATGGAATAGTAGGAGGATTCAGAGTAGGCTGGTGAAATGGGTGCATGATGGGGAGCATAACCCAATGCATAGGAGGCTGGTGTTTGATGGTGACCATGATATGCTGGCAGGGGGTAGGGCATAAAACGATGTTGACCATGATGATGGGAAGCAGGAGAGGTGGGCATTTGTCGGACACCAATTGGTCGGTGTATGACATCGGTGCGCATGGGTGGTGACACAGAGCTGGAACGTCCCGACAAATAATGATGTGGTGGTGGAGGTGACAGCGAACCAATAGAATCTGATGGCGAACTTGGCGAAAGTAATTCTCCTCGCAGAGGCGAAATTTGTTGAGCCAAGTGGGGATTGTTAATGGTGCGATAGAACTCGGCGGTATATGGAGACATGTGGAAATTCCATGGCTGTATGCCATATTTGGGATATGTGGGAGTTGGTACAACCACGGAGGCAGCTGCTGCTGAAGCGGCTGCCACAGCTGCTGCAGCCGCCAAAGCTGCTGCCTGTGTGGTATTTGCATCCGTGCCATGATTATCCTCAATTTCAACACAGTCAATCATTTCATCATCCTCCTCACCATCGCACATACTGTCATCATCGGTGTGATCAACATCGACACCTTCATCCTCACAACAATCGCTGACATTGATCATTTCATCCTCCTCATCTTCGGCGGTCTGTTTGCTGCTGCTGCCGGTATCCTTTTTCAAACTTAAATTCTCCGGTTCATCTGTACAATCTGTATCCAATTTAATGATTTTCTTGGGGTTATCCATGGGTGAGCTGGTGGTGGTATCCTCTTCATCATCGAATGAATAATGAACTGGTCGTTTTTTCAAGGGACACTTGCTGTAATTTTTTTCCACTATTATATCTTCAATGTTATGCATTTTGATTGTTTTTGTTTTCAGATTTTTTCAAAATAAAATTTTTCACAATTTTTTCTTTGTTTATAAAGTTTTGTTGTAATTGTTTTCTTTTTCTGTTTTTATAACAATTGTTTTGCGGTTTTTATTTTCCGATCATGTTTTCCGGCTTTTTGTTTGCTTTTCTTTTTTTATTTAAAATTAAACCGAATTTTCAAATAAAAAATTAAATGAAATTGTTTTGTTGTTGTTTTTCTATTCTTGTTTTTAGAACACAAGCGAATGCGATGCGAACTCAAGCAAAGGCAACGAAGAACTGTGCTGGAGCATCACTCTGGGCGAGTTTATATAGGCCGAGGAGTTTTCAACCACACAACTCTTCAACTTCATGCACTCACCGAGGGGGAGAGTGGCAAACAATGAGAGTTTATCCATTCGCTCTCACTCTCTCAGTACGTGAATGAGTATCACCTGCCGTTATTGAAACTCTCTTACAATGCCTGGGTTATTTCCTTCCTCTGTAAACAAAACAACACAACACAAAATTCATGCACAGGCACACTCAAACATGAATAAGAAAAACAACAACAATGATTGGTGTTGTTGTTAGGTGGTGGTATTTCCACAATCAAACACACACACACTCGTACACTCGTTGGCTATGTGCTTTGCAACCACCAATCGTCTGGCCGTTTGCTATGAACCGCTATGCCGTCCACAAGAAACCTGTTTGAATGACTCGTTCGTTATACGCCGCCAACCACTAGCCGCACATGTTGTTGTGAATTAACGCGTGCCGTTATTATTGTCTGGCAATGGAATGAACCAATGGCAGCTGATACCCACACAAATGCAAGGTGTTGTTTGGTATATACATGAGGAAATCTCATTACCAACAAATCAGGCTCACTCTCTGTCTCTCTCCTGGTTGTACTCTTTTGTTTGATTTGGCGAAGAAAAATCCCCAGTCTCAATCTCACACAGAGAACAAAACCTGGCCTATACTCTCTGAAATCACCTAAAGTAGAAGAAGAGTATTTTTGTCATGCTCTGGCATGTTTTGTGTTCCTTTATGTTGTTGCGTTGCCGTGATCATAAGAACCTTACGGGACTCTTAAGCCGAGCACCTCACCATACCAGTTGTCGGTCGTACAGCTGTTGTGTTTCAAATTGTGTAGCTCTTTGCCACGATACGTAGTGGTTGGCTCTGTGTGGCACCATACACTTTTAATGGTTCTGCTCTGTTGCATATGCAACCTGGCTTCGTTTTGAGATCAAGCAGCAAGCAAATGATCGTTCGTGTGTTTCTTTTTTGTTTTGTTTTCCTGGTTGGGCACACGTTTCTTGTCATTTCATGTTCCAATCATTTGTGAGTTGACTATGCAATGTTGTCGTCGTCGTTGTTGTTTTTGTTATTCAACAAATGTTGTCAGTTAGTATATGTGTGTGTGTTTCTGTTGTGTAGGTTCTCTTCAGAGTGCAAAGTACACCATCAAACTCAGAGTAGGAGGATTAGTGGAGTTCGATGGTTCGTTGATTCTTTGTGAGTTCCTGGTTTTTAGTTCATGCTGCAGCTCGTTCGTGAGTAGTCTAAAAATAGACTTGCTTGCGTTAAGGACAGGTGGTGGCCGTTGCAGCTACACACATTCACTTATTTCCCGTCTGTAAGGATATCACTTGATAGAATTGGATATTTACGTAAAAAATGGAAAAAGGAATGAATCACTTAAGAGCGTGTGGAGGATTTTTTTACACAATATTATGCGACAACGTGGTTTATGTATTCAGGAGGATATGTTTTATGGTGTTTTTATTTAACTAGATATGGAGCATGTGTGACGGATGATTCAGATTAAAGAATGAGAACAGATTTTGTTTTTTTAATGTTGAGACATATTTATTGAGGCACAAAAAAGTCGTAAGTCAGTTACGTAGACAATTTCAATTCAGAGGACTAATATCAATTCATGCTAGTAATGCCGCACCGCTAAGTACACATAGATTAAGCTGAGTTTTTTTTTATAGTCTTAAAAATTTTACCTTTGAAATTGTAAAATAACACTTCAAGGAGACTTTATCATATCACTTTTAAAAAAGTTATATATACGGAAAATTGTGGAATATCGTAGAGAAAAAAGTCGTTATTGAAGCCTTTATACCATTAATATAATATGCAACTTTGAAAGGATACAAACATTTCTGAATGAAAATTTTTTCAAATAAAATTTTAACAAATGCCTACGATTTATTTAAACCATTTCCAATAAAGTTATCTCTCCTTTTTACTAATCTTCTACAATAATTCTTTAAGAAGTTGAAATAGGAAATAATGTAAATTGTGTTGAAAATTTAATCGAAATTACAAAAGTTGTATTAAAATGTATATGTAAAATAATGACTTCGAGGGGGAAATTAAACCTACCAAACTGGTGGGTATGCTTTCCTTTCCATTGCAAAACTTCGATCATAAAGCTCAACTCGAAAAAGAAGCAGTAAGCAAATTAATAAAGTCGGACGGAGCCGGCTATATGATACCCTTCACCACCTTGAATATATTCAACAGATGCATCCTTATAGACGTCGTATTTTTGAAGGACCATTAACATGAAATTGTATGAACTAAAATAATATGTGATCTTTATCTACCTGTGAACCGACATAAATCAATCATAGACATGTCATCCTGCAACCTATGCAAAATTTTTCACCATGCACCATTTAATGAAAATTTGACTACATATATATCTAAATCTGAACCGATTTCAGCGAAACTTTCCGCCCAGTAGGTTACATCAACTTCAGTACGTTGGACAAAGTTTTGTGTCAATCGACCATATTTTGGAGCTTTGGTGCACCATTTACTTAAAATCGGACGAAGCTGTATATGGGAGATTTTTTCCAATTTCTTGGGCCAAACAAATGAGCTGTGCCAAATTTCATCCAATTCGAATAATAAATGCGATCTGTACTTTGTTTACAATTTAACATGGACAGACGGACGGACATGCATAAATTGACTCAGAAAGTGATTCTATGCATATTCTCATAGGGTCTATATTGAATATTTTTGCCTGTTACATATATGTGTACAAATGAAGTAGGATCATACAATGATCATCGCTCTGACAGTCCACTCTTTGGTTTACCCATCATATAAGGACAATCCCAATTTTTACAATATTAAAGAATTTAGATAAAATTTATATACAGATAAATTTTTGGAATATAAAAGTAACCCACAAACAATTCGTAGAATTTTAAAGGTATTCATTCATTGGATTTCGTTCAGGAACAAGAAAAAAGGATTTTACATTTTGGAAATCTTTTATTTTTGCTGATGACAGCAATTTTAACTTATTTGGGTCGGAACGACCAAGTATGGTATGACGCAGGTCGAATAAAGCCGTTGATCGACTCTAAGCACACAATTACAACAGTAAAGCAGGGATGAGGCTATGTAATAGTATGGAGCTGTATGAGACCTGCCGGAGCAGGGAATATCGTTTATATTGAAGGAATTAGGGATAATATTTGTTATTGAAACATTTGAAATGTAGTGCCGAAAAACTGGGATTGGGGACAATATTTCAATGTTAGCAAGATAATGACCCAACAAACAAGTCCCAAATCTTTGGAGAATGGATGCTGTATAATTGCCCTACTCAGTCCCCAGATTTGAATCCTATAGAGAACTTATTAAGTATTTTGGAGAAAAAAATTATAAGTCATAACATGACCAGCATACCATGCTTTACAAGTAGTATATTGAATAATTCAGACATCTTACACTGAAAACTTGGTAAAATCAGCATAGTGAAAATCAGCTGTGAAAGAAAATAAGTGATATCATACTAAGTTTTAAGCCTCCAAAACAATCCATTTGATAAAAACAAAACTTTTATCTTGGATACTTTCCACTGTGAGGTTGCTATTGTCTTTGTTTAACGTTTGATTTTGCAAAATAGTCAGGATGAAACCCAGTACTCATCAGTTCCCTAAGTTTTTGTGTTGGAATATTCTCCCCAGAAGCTATTTATTGCTTCGTTACAAAAAACCTTTCATGCCCAAATGTCTCTTGTGACAAAGCGAAGTATTTATGAGAATTTCGTTGGTGCCTGACTTCGTGGTCAACAGGGCATTTGCAGACAACTAAAATATTTTAAAAAATTTTATTTTATATATTGAATTCACATAGGTAGAGTAACTTCGGGTAATGTGGGCCACCATTTTCTTTTTTTTGATATTGTGGGCGTACCAACGGTAAAAACTGAAAACAAATTGTTTTCACAACATAGTAGATTTATTGGCTAAATATATTCCAGGTCACAAATTATATATATTTGTCTATAAAAATGTTATTGCATTATATTTCAATAAACTCTAAACTGCGAATAAAAATAACTAGGCGGGTAATGTGGACCAGCAAGTGTTGGCAATGCGGATCAGTAAGTTAAATGTAGGTTATGGATTAATTGTGATACATTTCAATTTATTGTACTCTTGGGTAACAATGAATGCAAAAATATGTGGGTTAATGTCTTGGAATAGCCCCCATTTAAGGGTACCGCCCCATTTGCGGTATTTTGAAGGTTCTCGCTTCATTATCCAACCGAAGCACCTGTAATTTCGCATATCGTGTTTTCAGAGGATAGAATACCTCATCGCATAATAAATGCACCCACGTTTCGAACTCGTCCTCATGAAAAGGTCCCACTTTTTTATAGTGGTCCACATTACACGACATTGAATATTTTTATTTAGAAATAAGTATCGGCTTCAAAAAATGAATAAAAATTAAAAATCGCCGATTGTAATTACAGCTAAACGTATATTTTTGTTAAAGAAAACAAGAAAAACCACATAACTTTTTATATTCGAGAAAAACAAAGTGTTCGACTATTTTGAAAAAACGTTCGACAATTGTGCTAAACAATGTTCAAATCACACTTTTAAAATCAGAGCTACATTTTCTACTACTACGTTTTCAACATTGCAATTATTTATTAAAAACCAATTTTGATGTTTGTTTTCATTAATAAGGAAAATATTT